CCAAACTTGTAAATTGTATCCTCGGTTATACTTGGATAGGGTGACTCCTTAGAGTGGGTACAATAGCAAACTATTAGCCAGCTATAAATATATTTTAGTGAGATAAAAGATGAGAGAGAAGAGCAGCGGGCAACAGATCTGTAGCCAGCTGCAACACGGACTCCAAGACACAATGTGTGTATGACAGGTGGGACCATATATTAATAGTATAGTAAGCAACTATTGTATAAATTGGCTATTAGATTGGCTATAGATAAATTAAAGCTAGTAGTGGACTATACTATTAAACTTGCTCTTATATTGATATCATAATTTGTTTCCTACTTTAATATTTTAACTAAACCGAGCTCGCCTTGACTCGCTCAAGGGTTTAACCTTTACCTCTCGTTACAGATAGTATGTATTTACTAAAGAATAACTTCACCTATTAGAGTATCCTATTAATAGCATATCTCTTATTGTGCTCATTTATCCCTAATTCTATTTGACAAGGGGACATTAGTGGAAGGCTAAAGGTAACTAATCACTGACAATCTCACTAGAGCTTTCATTGAGATGTTGATAGTGTCATAGCCTCATAAACTAGGGTTTCCACCGTATACCTTATACTCGTGAGATTGATATAGTACAAACACCAAATAAAATACAATGCTATTATCCACCATAGGAACTGAATTTGTATAAAAATCTCTATCTAGTTTGTTCTCGCTATATCTTGGTGTGCACACTTACACTTGTCTTATTATTATATATAAATACTATAGCTGGGTCCTTAATTCCTCGATAGTTTGCATAACTTGAATCTATGCATTTTTCCTTTAATCTTGTGGAAACACCGGCGGATTCATTGGTTTTAAGATGATCATCCATAAAATCTCTTGAGACTATGCACTACGTTGTACAAACTGAGAATTGCTAAGTTGTTTGGTCAGTGCATGTTTTTTTTTTCGAGAATTACACAGTACAACGCAGACACTCACAACACACGCGCACTCATCCCTATGAACGCACGCACGCAAACCCTACCCCTATGAGCATCTTCAAAGACTGGCCCGGTAAATCCTGGAGAGATTGACGAAGTTATCACAGGCGCCTCGCTGTCGATGGGTATGTCACCTACCACTGAAAGCCAACGCCGTTAAATTCTGGAAAATTTTGATTTAAGATCAATACTGTGCAGCAACCTCTTTCCTTTTTTTTTCCTCACTGTATTGTCCAATTCTCTTGATCTTCACTTGTTTCCTCACTGTATCGTGCTATCTTTTCCCTCTTCATTGTATGTTTGTATCGTCTATCATCTCATGTCTGTATTGTTCAATTGTTAGCACTACGCTGGTTCACGTCATCTCTAACGGGCTCATACTCTTACCTGTGATGGGTTAAGCCTTTGGTTACAGATCAGTGGTCACTGATGACATTGAGTCACTTGTGACGGGTAAAAACCCATCAAAGGTAAAAGTCACCTTTGACGGACTTCAACTAAAATCCGTCACTGGTGACCTTTACCTGTGACGGGTAAATATATTAACTCGCTGATGGTGATCCTTATCTGTGAGGGATCTAAATTGAGACCCGTCACAGACCTCAAAAATGCAGCAAAAAAATATTATAAGCATAGCTGGTCGCAGACTTTCATTAGGCATTCACAAATCACAAAAATAATCACATTCACAATCATTTGGACACAAAACAGAATCACAAGAAACATCACAATCACATTCATCTGGCCAAAGAACAAAATCACTTCACGTTCACAATCATTTGGACACAAAACAAAATCACAAAAATCATTACCACCGCCAGATCTGGCGGTTAGGGCCCGGATCCGCCCAGGAGCTCTAGATCCGTCGGGCGCTTGCAAGCTTGGGCCAGTGGAGGTGTGGGCGGTGGTAGAGGCGGCGGAGTCGGCGGAGCCCACGGTCGGAGGCGGAGTCGACGGAGCTTGAGGTCGGAGGCAGAGCCGGCGGAGGTCGGGGACGGAGTCAGCGGAGGTGGAGACCGCTGCAGCCATCGGGCTGCCACCGCCTCCCCTCCCGCTGTCGGCCACCACCGCACCACGGCTCCAGATCCGTCCGGCACCACCGCGCCTCCCCTCCCGCCCCTACCGGATCTGGCGGAGGGGAGGGCGCCGCCGCCCCTCCCGCCGCCCCTTCCGCCCTTGCCTGGCCGCCGCTCACGCACACAGAGAGAGAGAGGGAGAGAGAGGGAGAGAAATAGGGAATGGGATAGAGAACCGATAAAAATGGGGAATGGGAGAGAGATCGGCCTTATCTCCTGTTGTGGGCCCCGCTAGGAGAAAAAAAAATCTCCACCTCACCTCAAACGGGTTAGGGCTTAAACCCGTTTGAGGTGAGTAAACCTCACCACTTATGGGCCTTCCGATTGCAACCCGTCACAGGTAACTAGTCACCTGTGATGGGCTGGAATTGAAAACCCTTCACAGCCGGATGGCTCACCGATGACGGCATCCCATAGGACCCGTCAAAGGTGACCTTCATCAGTGACCAGCACTTATGCCCGTCACAGATATGCCGTCAAAGATGTAAGGATCTGGTATAGTGTAGGATTTGTGAAGTTTTACTTGTTTAGCAATATTTTTTTAGGGAAGTTAACATATATTACCGTTTTCTTATTAAGATTTAAGTAACTACTAACATTTTTTTTCTAAGAGATACCTACTACATTTCAAAAACATCTTAGGACAATCATACCTGGTTTTTAACTATGGGAAACAAGAAAAGTAATTTGCCATTGTAAATTTTATTGTCTTTATTGCATTTTTGAATTAAAAACCTGTACTCCCTCCGTCCAAAAAAACTCAATTCCTGGGTTTCCGTGTCTAACGTTTGATCGTCCGTCTTATTTAAAAAAATAATAAATTTTTTTAAAAAAGATAAATCATGCATAAAATATTATTCATGTTTTATTATCTAACAATAATAAAAATACTAATTATAAAAAAAATCATGTAAGACGAATGATTAAATGTTGGACACGGAAATCCAAGAATTGAGTCTTTTTTGGGACGGAGGGAGTATGTTTTATTAACGGTATAAATATTATTCTACTTAGTATTACTATGTAAGTCACGAATACCCATCCTATAAATTCTGGAATCCGACCCTATGTGGAAACGGGACAACCTCATGTAAATATCATGTAAAATTTCTATGTTTCAAACGGAGGAGTAAACATGCCGAGCAAATCATAACAGAGCCAATTTGTTTTTTCCAATTCTGGTCCCATATAAGGTAGAAAGTATAGTATGAAATCTTCCGGATCGCGATATTGATTTTGGACGAACGTCGCACAATAATATGGTTTCGTGAGACTAGTCCCACTCTTTGATGTAGTCGGATTGTAGCTGGCTTTAATTGTTGCACACCCGTGAATTTGTTGGTTGTCCCATTTCAAGATCGTTGGGGTGACATGCAAGCGATGCGTGCATCGCATTACATCGAAATTTTTCTATACACAAACTTTCAACTTTCCATCACATCTAAACTTTTCTATACACAAACTTCAAACTTTCCTAGCGATACGTGCAGTTTTAGCACAACCATATTTTTTCCCGGCTGCTATTCTCGTTTCATTGGTTAACAGTGGTCCAAAATGGTCCCTGTTCGTGCGACTGCGATACGATTCATCTCCATCACAAACTCTTTACTATCATTACTGCATTATTAGCACCTATCAAATCAGTGCCAGCGCAACAAAAAAAGAAGGTCCAAGTGGTGGCAACCGTGGTCTATTGAGATACAGTATCACGCAGAAAAAAAAAACACATCAATGTTCAGTCGCAGTGACACTGTTAGTGTAACGTCCAACTATCCAAGTCTTATACGAAAGCAGCGTTTCATAAATATTTTGTAGGACCTCCCTAGGAATTGCTTCTTATTCTCATAACAGTCTACTACATCACTATCTGAATATTAATATGTGACGCTGTGCGATGTTAGTTACAGCAACTCCATCCATATATACTATGACCATATGGCACTCTTGCCCTACATGGGCCACACAATATATTGGGGATCCTTTTTGCTGGATGCAGTACTGGTGCTTGAACAAATTGAGCAGCGGAGTTAGCGATGGCGCATTGGCATTGCGTGACGTGTTTCTTCTAGCTTTCTACTCCTAGCTCCAGCTCAATTGATCTGACCTCGCTGTTAACCCACCAGATCGAGCGTTGTGTCCCGTGTGGTACAGGAAAACTGGAGAATTTGTGCCAAGGTGGAGTGATCTGGCGGCACTCCCGTTCACGGCTGGCAACTATGTACTGTGTTATGTGGATTTTTAGACAATGAAAATAATTCTAATCTTTAGCTCAAGAGCTTTTGACAAAGTTTAACTCCAGATGGGAGCACTCAAGCCGAGACATCACAGTATCACACATAAAGTAACATAGAAACACCAACGTTGTTTACATGAAACAAATATAATATCAAAAGCCTACTACTAAATCTCAATCCATATTCAGTAAAATGTTGCATGACCGCAAAATTAACAAAATTGTTAAAGTGGTTGGAAATGAAGCTCCAGATGGGAGCCAAGGAACCAGAACTGCGTGTAACATGTCGCTGGAGGGAAAAAGAATTCTCTTCCTGTTGGTGATCATGATCATCGCCAAAAGCCAAGAACAGGTTAAACTGAACTGCTCTCCCCTTCCAAAAAAACGGCTCTGCTCCCTTCTGAGACATGGTAGCAGGTGTCACTGTGCCATGCAGTGTCAGTGTCAAGGAAACGCGGCAGTTGGGCCTGGTGTGGAGTTGGGCGAGGCCGGCCCGAATAGAAGCCCCGTGTTGGGCCTGGGGCAGTGTGGGGCTTTCTCCAGGCCTGTCAAGTGAGTGTTGTTACGAAGTACTTGTTACTACCAAATATCTTTTCCTTTTGATTATAGAGAGATGCATTCTGTTTTGTTTTTTGGAGGAGAGATCGCTCTTGATCATCACAATCAACAGAAAAAAAGGAACGACGCGAGGATCCCTCGTGCCGAAACAGAATCAGCATGAACTCTAATGATAGTTTCATTATATGAAAAACTCACCTAATGCTAAACTACATTGTCGTCAACAATTAATTGGCGGCCATTATTTCATCATCCAGCCTCTAATGGATTCTAGAAAAAAAAAGAACATATGCATTCCAATGGATTCTAGAAAAAAGAGAACAAAAATCTCTAGTGGACTAACCACGCATATGCATGGATCTTGCATGCAGACGGACGGCGGTGGAATTAACGGGTGGATCACGGCTGGCCGACCTCGTTCTCCCGTGACATCTCCTCGAGCGACTTGCCCTTGGGCTCCGGCACAAGGAAGGTGAGGAGGAAGCCGAGCAAGCTGCAGCCGGCGAGCGCGAAGAGCGAGTTGCGGACGCCGATGCCCGGCGGGTAGCCGTGCGCCGCCGCCTTGGCCGGGACGGGGCTCTGCGCCAGGTACAGGAACCCGAAAGACCCGACGATCGCGCCCACCTTCCCCGACGCCGCCGATATCCCGTGGCACGTCGCGCGCAGCCTCGCCGGGTATATCTCCGCCGGCACGATGAACGTCGTCGCGTTCGGCCCGAAGTTGGCGAAGAAGAAGGTGAGCGCGTACAGCACCACGAACCCGATCTGGTTCCCCGCCGCCGTCCAGTGGTCGTACGGCACCGCCAGCGCCAGCATGAACGCCGTCATCACGAAGAACCCCGCCGCCTGGATCTTGAACCGCCCGACCACGTCGATCAGCGCCACCGTGAACCAGTAGCCCGGCACCGTCCCGCACAGCGCGATCAGCGTCTGCGCGCGCGCGATGTGGTACAGCTCGTCCAGCGCGCTCATCGTCTTCGCCTCCGGGATCCACCCGATGGCGCTGAAGATGTCCTTCTGGAACAGGTTCTGGGAGTAGTAGGCGATGTCCAGGAGGAGCCACGTCGACGTCGTGCCCAGGAGGTGGAACCCGTGGCGCCGCGCGAACTCGCCGGAGAAGAGGCCGAAGGGCTTGCTGGTGAAGGGCTTGTCCACCGGCGAGGCCATCTCCGCCTGCTCCGCCGTGATCTTCACCTGGAGCACCTTGGACATGTCGGCCGCGGCGCGCTCCGCGTTCTTGGCGACGATGGCGGTGTACCGCGCCGTCTCCGGCATCCTCATCCGCCAGTAGAAGGTGAGCGCCGCGGGAAGCGCGCCGAACATGAGGATGAGCCGCCACACGTAGTCGGCCTGGGGCGGGGTGGACGCCGCCGGGTCGGCGGCGAACGGCGGCGCGGGGAACCGGCTCCTGAAGATCGCGGTGATCCCGATCGCCACCGCGCCGCCGGCGAGGATCCCGAACCCCTGCATCGCGAACACGGCGGCGATGAACGCCCCGCGCGTCCGCTTGTTCGCGTACTCCGACATGATGGTGGCGCTGAGCGGGTAGTCGCCGCCGATGCCGAAGCCGAGCCAGAAGCGGAAGAAGCAGAGCGTGGCCATGACGCTCGTCGGCGTGTCCCCGAACGACAGCCCCGACGCGACGGAGCAGATGATCATCAAGAGCAGCGTCATGCCGTAGACGCTCTTCCGGCCGACCCTGTCGCCGAGCCACCCGAAGAAGAGCTGCCCCGTGAGCGTGCCGACGAAGGCGACGCCGTTCACGGCCGCCGAGACGTTGGGCGGCAGGCTGCCCGGCTTGGACGCGCCGTCGGCGGTGTAGTAGACGCGGCCGATGAGCTTGGTGACGAGGGAGATGCAGAAGAGGTCGTAGGCGTCGGTGAAGAAGCCCATGCCGGCGATGACGATGGCGGTGAAGTGGTACCACTGCGTCTTGGCGCTGTCCAGCGCGGAGAGCACGTGCATCTGATCGCCCGCCATGGCGGTGACGCTGCTGCTCCGGCGGTCAAAGGCTCTCTCTCTCTCTCTCTCTCACACAAACACCTTCCTGCCTCGTAAATGGCGGCGAGGGAGTGAGCTACAGAGAGATGGAACAGGTGGTTGGTTGCTATGTATACGCGGGTGACGCGAGAATATTCCGAGTTCATATCCTTCATTTTTCTCGGGAGAATGCAACGCCTTCTCCCTCCTTTCCAGCAACAAGTTTTGACGGGCTCGCATCGCAATCGCATGGCTCTGCGTGTTTTGGATCCATATCCCATTAGCTTATCGCCGTACTACACACGAGACGTGCAAACCTGCAGATTTTGTTACTTGTTATGTATATACTCTGATGATCACATGATACACATGATATGTGTTTGCCGATACAATTCGTAACAACTCTGCTTCCAAAATTCGGATTGATTGTTGAGACAAATCTCGTAGAACACGGAACGGAGAGAGAGGAAGCAACGGCTAATGGGCCGGGCGATCCAAAACAAACTGGACCTGAATGGGCCGCACCGTATTCCGTCGTGAAACCATTGCGAAACTCGAAAAAACATGGCGTCTTGGCTTTGACTTCTCACCATAGAAGAACCTTCTCATGGTCGTAGCAAGAAATTCCAGTCCAACGCGGCTTCGCTTCCGGTGCCGTGTCCTCCCTAGAAATCATCGTCCCTAAATTGGACAAAATTACACTGAACTACGCAGATCCATCGTTGCGACCACGCAGAAGATCTCCGTGCTCGGGTGGCGCGGCGGGATGGCGTCCTCATCGGCGGCGGCGGCGACGTACCGGTGCGCGGAGTGCGGGGCGGACCTGAACCTGACGGCGGCGCAGCTATACCCGGAGGGGGTCTACTTCGAGGCCGGCAACAAGGGGACGCTCTCCTTCTCGTGGGTGGACGAGTCGCGGCTGCGGTTCGCGCCGGAGGACAAGATCCGCCCCTTCTTCGAGACGCTCAACTACTGGGGGATCCAGCGGAAGCGCACCCGCATCAGCTGCGACGCCTGCGGCCGCCTCCTCGGCTACGTCTACGACGACGGGCCGCCGGCCATGGACGGCACCGGCCAGTTCGGGATGGGCCCCAGCCAGGTCATCCCTCGCCGGCCGAGGTACCGGATCAAGACCAAGGCCGTCACCGTGGTCAATCCTCCGGCTACCGCACCGTACAGATGAGATGAAACCTTGTACATCAACATCGTAGTAGCGTTCGGTGTTACAAGTAGGACATGTAAAACGTATTCCATTGTGATCTTGGTTCGCCGTTGTTGCAAATAAATAAATTGTAGTAGTACTATGGGATGATGAAACCGATGAGAATTATGGTGTGGTTTCTTTGTAAATCAACGCAATTTCTTGGTAAATCCAGTCTCCGGTTTGCCACATACTAGTAGCACGGTGGCACGGTGCCCATCGGCTGGATACCGACCCAACCAGGTCAAGAATTGGGGATCTCACCCAAATACCCAACTCAGGAGCAACGCAACGGTAAATAGACGGGACGAGGGGAAGAATAACCCAGCCATGGCCGTCGCAGCACGCGCCTCCTCCTCCCTCCTCCGCGGCGTGGCCGTGTTGAGGCGGCGGCCGCCGGTCCGATCCATCCACGAGGGGCCCGACACCATCGACGAGCTGCTCGACCGCCACCTCGCCAAGAAGTCCCCCTCCTCCTCTTCCGGGGCGCTCGACGGAGACGCGGCGGACGCCGAGGCGCGCCGCCGGCTGACGAGCTCGCGGCGGGAGGCGCTGGGGCTGTACCGGGACATCCTCCGGGTCACGCGGCTGTTCGAGTGGCCCGACGACCGCGGCGTCCCGTGGCGCGAGGTGCTGCGCGCCAACGCGCGGCGGGAGTTCGAGGAGGCCCGCGGCGAGCGCGACCCGGAGGTGGTGGCGCGGCTCCTCATCGGCGGCCGCGACGCCGTGCAGCAGGCGCTCGACCGGCTCGCCGAGGCGTCCCGCCGCATGGTCGAGGCAGAGGAGGCCAAGCGCCGCGGCGGAGCATAGCTGAAGTGCGGCTACATGCCGTTTCGATGCGTTTCATATGCTTAATTTTGTTCTGAAGTTTGTATGAAAACGAGTAAAACTTGGCCTTGTGTCAAGCAAATGTTCTTCTAAATCTCTAAATTCTGTTTTGTTAAGAATTGCAAATGAAAGTAGTTTTCTGTTAAATTTCATTATTGAATGATGTGTGGTACATGGAGCTATGTGATTCAGAATCTTCACTCGAAAAGAATGGACTTTGTACATCATATCAATGTGTTACAGTATTAAGAGGAGGTTCCTGTCCAGTGTGCATATTCACCCTTTCACTTTGAGCCGCTGCTACCGGAGTAACACTGTACCAGTACCTGGGAATTGATTTCTCGTCTATGTGCCCCCCGAAAATTGATACAGCTGTAGCATTTGGACTCATACTCGATGGTTCATCTAAGCTGTGACTTTATGATGATATTTTGCCACAACACCTATTCATTCAGGCGTTCCATTGGTGTTGCCGAAGGTGTGAAGAACATTGTCAAATACTGAAACAGTGATATCCATTCACCAGTAGTCACCACAGCAACAAGAGCCATCAGAGAATTCATGATAGATCTTTGAGTCACCGACAACAATCCTCCGTCCTGAATATCTTGATATCAACTTCAATGCATGATGACAGTGGTTGCATATACGCACATTCTTCTTGACAAGAATAGGGGATCCAATCTCAGATGATATCAGACCGAAGACAACAGCCAGCCTAACACTATGCTTATTAGGCATTGTGGTTGTCCTTGTTGCAACAGGGACGGGATAAGACTGATTCCTTGTGTCATCTGTTTCTTCAATCTTTCTAGACAGAATATTGGACACTTCATGAATCGTCCTGCTCTGCGAGTGAGACATATCCCCATTGGCAAAGCTACACGCCGTGCTATGAAGCTCAACAAGGCTTATTGGTTCTGTTCTTCGCAACCCCTTCTCTTTCATCAGCAATCTCACCCTCTCAACATCCTCCCATCTCCCAGCATCAGCATACATCGAAGATAGAACAATGTAGCAGCCTGTGTTGTCATGTTCCAGTTGGAAAATCCTCTCTGCTGCGTACTCAGCTATATCTATGTCATTCTGGTTCCTGCTTGCTGTAAGTAGGGAACCCCAAACCCTGGATGTTGGATCTATCGGCATGCTTTCAATAAACTGTAGCACCTCTCTAAGATCACCTTCTCGACCCAGAAGATCGGTCATGCATCCATAGTGCTCAATCTGTGGGATCATGCCATACTCTTGTAGCATTAGATTGAAGTGCATCCATCCTTCATCCACCAAACCTGATACACTACAAGCAGTCAACACGGAGACAAAGGTACTCTCATTTGGTTGTAGACCATTATATTTCATCTCATCAAACATTTCCAGTGCAGTCTTTCCCTGGCCATGAATTGCATAGCCCATGATCATTGTGTTCCAAGAGATGACATCCTTTGACACCATTTTGTCAAATATCTCCCTCGAGGCCACCACATCACCACTCCTTGCGTACATATGCAGAACTGCGTTCATAATGAGAGTGTTTTCTGCATAACCTAACCCGATGATGTAACTGTGAATTTGCCTGCAGTGCCTCAGCGATCCCAGCAAGACGAATGCTGGTACTACTGTTGACATGGTGAAATAATCAGGATAAAGAGGTTGATTCAGTAACTCTAGGAATAGTGTAATGGCTTCTGTATACATCTCCTTGTACATGTAGGCAGCAATCATATTGTTCCATGAGACCAGAGTTTTGTTTGCTATCTTACCAAATATCTTTTCAGATGATTCCACTTTGCCAACTTTACCATACATCTCAAGAAGAGCAGTCTCAAGCACCACATGTGGAAGAAACTGTCTCCGAACTACATAACCATGAACACTCCTTCCATACAGTGAACTTTCAGTTTGAGCACAGGCAGCCAGCAAATTGATAGCGGTGACCACCTCAACCTGGAGGCCCTCTGCCCTCATTTGCATGAAGCAATCAAATGCCTCATCAGGCCGTTCATTCAGCGCATACCCACCAATCATGCAGTTCCATGTCACTACGGTCCTCAGCGGCATCGTTGCAAACACGCTCCTAGCATAAGCAACTTCGCCACATTTGCAGTACATGTCCAGAAGCGAAGTACCCACCTTGATATCCTGCTCCAGCCCGTGCCTGATCACATAGCCATGGATCTCTTTCCCTTGCATCGATGAAACTTCCAAGCAGCAAGCCGCGAGAGCGGCTATGATCCCAACGCTGTCATGTTGCACTTCTAGCGCATCATGCATCTCCTGGAAGCAAGCCAGTGCTAGTGACCCCAGCCCATTCGACACATACCCGTCCACCATTGTGTTCCACGTGACGATGTCCCTAACCGGCATTCCGTCGAACACCCTTTCGGCGTCCTCGACGAGGCCAAGCTTGGCGTAGAACGCGACGAGCGAGTTGCAGGTGTAGACGTCGTGCTCCAGGCCAAGCTTGATCACCATGCCGTGCGCCGCGCGGCCCTCGTCGAGACCCCCGAGGCGCGCGCAGCACTTGACGACGACGGGGAAGGTGAAGCGGTCGGGGCGCGCGCCGTCCTCGAGCATGCCGCGGTAGGCCGCGAGAGCGCCGGCGGGGAGGCCCGCGTCGGCGAAGCCGCGGATCATGACGTTGTGGAGGAACGCGTCGGGGCCCCTGACGGCGGCGAGGGCCTCGACGGCCTCGTCCATGCGGCCCTCGGCGGCGAGGGAGACGACGAGGGACTTGGAGCTGCCGCGCTTCGGCGGCAGCCTGGGTGGGGGCTCCTTGGAGGTGGCGGGGATGAGGTTCTGGGAGGCGCAGGCGGTGGTGGTGGTGGCGCGAGCCGGCCGGGCCGCGAGGACGAGCGGCGTGGCCATGGCCGGGGTGGGGGTGGGGCGAGGCGGAGGGGCGGGGTTGTAGCGGGATATTTCTCTGTAGCTGTTTCAGAGGTTTATCCGACCAGGGAGAGGAAAGGAGAGAAGTAACGTGTCGTGGCAATTTGCCATCGTTTCAGGTCAGTTCAAAATTTCAAATGAACCAACCTCGATTATCCTAGGATTCAAAATGTGGCAGCTCAGTTTAGGCTGTATTTAGTTCCACACCAAAATTAGAAGTTCGAAGAAATTGAAACGATGTAACGGAAAAGTTGAAAGTTTATGTGTGTATGAAAGTTCGATGTGACGAAAAAGTTAGGAGTTTAAAGAAAAAAGTTAGAATCTAAACACGACCTTAGAAAGGAGGAATTTCGTATGAATATTATGTCAATCAGTTGAATTTCGACAGGAACGTGGAGAATCGCACAAGATAAACCTACATGTTTGTATATCACTTTTATCCCAAACCAAATATTGAAGTATACAGTTAAAAATCTGACGTTATAGTCTATTGGAACAACATACATGGTAGTGAATGCCTGAAAACTGGCATCACCATCCGCATGAGAAAGATTATCAACAAGATCGCCCCCAACTACAAAATTGTTCAAATTTCTGACGTAAGTCTCCCAGCTATTCTCAGTTGTTCTTAAGCAGGAAACGTCCTGCTGACGCTTCAACTAAACGCCTAACTAGCCGCTTTGCTTCCTTTTCTGAGCCTGCAAAATGACAAGGCATTTGTTAGTTCCAACATAACACATTCTATGAGGCAAATGCCATCTAACACAAATTGCAGAACTACAATGTAAAAGAAGCTCAAAAAAATTTTAGAAACGGATTCCTCGTTATTCATTAACCAACTGTGCAAAATAACATGCATATGTAGTACCTACCTAGTTACACCATGAGAAATGTAAATCTACACCAATGTAGATCCTTCTTGACAAAAGTAACAGTGCTAAACTCGTACAAAATTACCTCTTGAAGTTTACGGAATACTGATGCTTCCAAATCATTGAATCCAGTTCCACCAAGGTTGCTTGGCCTCGTTTCAGGTGTATGAGTTGACCTTGTTGGAACACCACCCGATTCTTGAACAGGAGCAACAATCAATGGGACAGAGAAAACATTGTACACAGAATGGTTTTGTAATGCTGATAGCTGTCAAAAGAGCAATTAGTATTTGTTAGAGGCATTGTCAAAAGTAACATAGAACAGGTAGTGAAAAAAGGAGATACAGGTTGGTAAAGATCCCGAGCATGATATAAAAACAAACCAAATGGCATTAATGTTAAACCATAAGAAAGAAAGCAACCCACAAGTCACATGTTAAAACGCAGGCTTGCACCTCGTAAAAATTGCTTATGAGTATGAACACTTATCTTGCTGCAAATCAAAACCATGATTCACTTCTATGTGATTGTTAAGACCCATTAGTTGCCTCAACTTCTAGAAGACGTAGTACACGGCTGAGAGTTCTGCCATACAGAGTGAAAATCCTAGTGTCTTTGGTTTTCTGTCAGACGAGATATTGTCGAGACCAAAGTAAAAAAGGATAACTACTGTGGTTGACAGATGCACACCAAAACTATTTCCTCAAGGTCAACCGGGAAAATTTTCATGACTAAGGCATCCACAGTTACTATTCTGTACTTATTTTTAAAGATATTATGAAAAAAAAAGCAATACAAATTCTCTTATTCAATATTGTAAATCAGATAAATCTATTTTGAACAGCGGCCTACTAAATTTAACCTCGCATGTGCTGTTACACAATAATACATCAATTTGCAAGTTTACAACTCACACGGATGGAGACCAAGTGAAGAGGGTTGAAGCTCTTTCCCTGACCATCAATAGTTGGTTCATCTATTTTTAGATGGCTTGTAAATTGTAATGTCTTTTGGAACCTTTGTTCTTTTAGTCTATGTTGTTAGGCTGTTCTGGTTGCTTAGTAGCAGCAAGGGGGGATGGCGTCGCATGGAGTTGCTAAGCAAAAATCTGTAAGATGATGTCGGTGTGGGTCGCTGTAAAGACTTCAGTGACGTTTCCTCAATGAAATGGGAGAGGTCACCTCTCTTTCTCAATAAAATAAAATAAAGCAAGACTATCATACCCCCATTACAATGGCAAACAAAGCCTGAAAAAGGAGTAGAGAAACTGGACTTACTGCAGCCTCCTTGGAAGCCATGACAACAATTGCTGATCCCCTACTCCTTGATTTCCTTGTTTTGATAACAACATCTTCAACTCCACCAAATTGCTTAAAGATCTCCTCCAGCTTTGCAGCATTATAATAATCTGCACCTCCTTCCCATGAAACCTTCAAAATCTTACCCTTGTCTGTTTTTGGTGCATCTTGTGGGGCTCCAGGTGCCTAGACAAAAAAAAATTGAATTGTAAAAGCTAGTTCTGTTAACTGCTACCAACGCATGAGTTTATAAGACCAGCCAGCATAGGCCTAGAAAGTTACTCCAAGTGTATTTTGATCATAAAAGAGGAGGCATGGGAGGAAGCTATGGTGTTTGAACCAGATAAGAGAAATTCACTTCATGCTCAATAATCTTAGCTAATGAAATAATTTTGCTGGTCATATTTGTTAGCAATATGTGAACCCAAAACTCAATTCTACAAACAGTCTATCAGTGATGTTCCACCTTCATGAGTCCCCTTTGATATACTTACAATCAATGTTTCTCTTTGGTGTTACCCTGACAGTAACCTAGAAGAAACATCCTTTGTAGGATGCGACTTACATATAGTATTCACAGTCCTTCCTATGCAATAATCTAGAAGTACTGTTTGTACAATATACTTGGAATCACTACCTGCTCAAGTGCTCATTCCTCCAAAGAAAAAAAAAGAGCAGTATGCTAGAATATCGTGTGCTTAATTTGCAGTATCTACCACCGTGCAGATTACTAGAACGCAGCAATTCCCCAACATCACATGGTGGCAATTCACGAGACAACAACATCCAGAATTCCAGAACGCAACAATTCCCCAAATTTCTAACCCTAACCGATGGTGATATAAATCCTACCCGAGGAAACAATTAAATCCAATCAAAACGATTCCATGTAATAGTTTCGACATTAGATAGAGAAAGAGGTTCGGATCCTTACCGAAGCGGGAGGAGTGCTTGAAGAGGCCGATTGCTTGGCAGCGAAGAACTCCTCGAGCTCGCGCTTGACGTCGGCGGCCTTCCGCTTGTCCTCGCGCCTAGCGGCCTCGGCGGCATCGACGGCCTGGCCCGTGGAGGCGGCGCGCTCGCGCTCCTCTAGGTCGGACACGGCCTTCCGCCGCTTGACGCCGGAGGCGGCGGCGCGGGCGGCCGCCTCGCGCCGGCCGCGAAGGCGCGCGTCGAACTGGCGGCGGAGGGACTCGTCCCGGAGGAAGTTGTAGGAGCTCGCGAGGCGCTGGAAGTCGGCGGTGGCGTTGGGGTCGTCGGGGCGCTTGTCCGGGTGGCGCAGCCGCGACTGCGTCCGGTACGCCTTCTCGATCTGCTCGAGGGAGAGCCCCGCGCCCTCCTCGCCGGAGGGGAGGCAGAGCACCTCGTAGTGGTCGACGTCGTCGTCCTCCTGCCCCATCGCCGCCATGGATTCCGCGAATTTGCGAGCCCCAACCCCAAGTCGGTTTGATTCCGCGGCTACGAATAGTTGGTGAAAGAGGGGTTCAATTCCACCGCACCTCCACCGAGACAAACGCGCCGCTCGCTAGTCCGACTCCCTGGTGCGTTCCACTTCCCTGGCCAAGCCGAATGGAATCCCACCCTCGTCGTGGCGTATTTCTCTCTGGGTCTCGAACCCTACCAATTTCCGGCCTACCAGACGATGTAGCTCAAAATTGCTTCGGTAAAATTGTTGGAATGCACTCAACGGTAGGGATGAAAACGGTAAAATCACATTTATCGTTTCTGTTTTCATATATTTTGGGAATCGAATTCGGAATTGAAAACCCCGGATACGAAAACGAAACCGAATGTTATCGAAACCGAAAACGGAACGAAAACGAACCGGCGCGGATATGATAACGAAAATTTATCGGAATAAAAAACTCCTCAAACTGATAAATCTAATTCTCAAGTCTTAGTGGTCAGCAATTCACCATAAAACACAATCGTATAATTCTAATTGTAAAGTCTCAACGGTATATTACAAAACACAATCTATAAAATAAATTATCTATATTTAAGAGAGTAATGCTGTTGATAAATCCCAATGCAAGAAAAAAATATATTCTTATGTAATTTCATATTTGCATAACAAATATTCTAAAAAAAATTAATAGCCAAACACCATGGTACGTATTCACTATTCAGTGCTTAAAAAAAGAATCTAAGGTATTTCAATCACAAAATTTCCAGAAATTCCGAGAAAACTTCCGAAAAGTTTCCAACGGATTCCGAGTTCCGACGAAATCTGCCCTTATCATATTCGATTTCGTTTCCGATAAAATACTTACGAATTCGTTTCCATTTCCGAAAAATTCTGGCCGGTAGATTCCGTTTTCAAAAATAGGTCCGAAATCCAAAAAGTTTCCGTACCGTTTTGTCGGAGCCCAAAACTAACAACTTGGATCCGACTGAGGTTAATGTATCAATCCCTGGATCAGTAAAAATTGATACATACAATATAACAGGTTTTTCATTGCATACGTTAAAGTCTTACAATACTAAGGGTTTTACAATAATAGGTACTCACCTAAGCTGATTAATATACAGCGGAAGTTTCTATACATTCTGACTAGTGAGGTATAACCTTTAGGGATTTTCTAAATTATCGGGGTCTTCGTAGTAATAGTTATAAGGGTCCTCCTCTTGACCCAGATATGAAAAAGGGGTTATAAGAGCAAGGATGAGTATTCACAATACTCAGCAAATTATCATGGAAATATGTTATGCATTGATATATAATAGGGTTCTTTGCAAAAAGCGGTATTGGACAATCTGGAAAAGTTATAGCAGAATTTATAAAACATATAAACTTTAGATTTCTAACCAGGGTACCATATGAGTCCCGGTACTCAACTCCATGAGTACAGCTATTCGAATAGTTTCAAAGATATTCTACTGCAGCAGATGTACGCTTTACCCGCAGTCCACGACTTGCTGATAATCATCGGCTTTAGTCATGGCCCAGTATTAAGTCAATAACAATTATGGCACCTGTTCCATGAACTTATATCCTCATATGCTCTGAACGTAATGTTAACAGCAGCAAGAGGAGTTCTGGCGTTCCCGAGGTATTTAAGGGGAACTGATCGTATGACACCACGTCATCTCGATCAGGGTTTAGAAATATACCATATAGTTTATACTCGAGTATCACAAACCATTTACCTGTACATGGTAATGGTTAAAGTTGCCCTTCGCGGCTATAGTTGCCTCCTGCACGAGGACTTAAAAATAAGAACCACTATACAGAGGTGCCATATTGCTAATTAACATAATAACTAGGTCTGTCCCCATTCTAGAAACTGCGGTCATACCCGTTTGTTCGACATAAGTACCTGGTAAAACTTATTTCGATTGAGACAATACTAGCCACCCGGAAATCATCTAAATCTTACATATTGTCCCAATCTAAGTATAGGGTATTTTAACAGATTGTAAGCAAAATAAGCAATACAAAATTATCTGGGTTTCTATGATTAATTTATGCATAGAAAATAGAATATTGAATAGAAGGCTATAAATAAATAAATAATTTGTAAAATATAGGCTTAAATGATCAACAGGTATATGGTAACTTGCCTTGCTCAATGTCCTGAGATTGATTGATATTATCTAGAGTGTCAGAGGAATCCTCAAGACCTAGGGTTAGACATATAAAATTCAAATTCAAAAAGGAGTTTAAATAAAATGCAAAAATAGCAAAAAGGGGCCCAATAGATAGAGGAAGATTTTAGAAGAATATTGGTCCAAGTTTCACTGAAATTGGATCTATATTTTAAAAGATATGGGCTTCTAAAGTTTGAAAATCGAATAAAAGTGAAATGGTACTGTGTGTGGGTCCCATCTGTCAGTCTCTCTCTCTTCTCTTCTTCTACCTCCAGCCGTTCCCCATTTCAAGTCGGCGGCGCTAGGGTTGGCGATTGCGGCGGCGCTAGAGGGAGAAAGTGGTTGCGGCCGAGGAGGGGAGGGAGCTAGGGATCTCCGGCGACGGCGAGCGGCGGCGAAGGAATTAATTTGATGCGTGGACGGCCTAGCGGCTAGGGCGGCGGTGGCACAGTTAGGTTGTGATGGCGACCGGAGTGATGAGAGTTAGACATGGTTAGGGGAGGGGTTCTAGAGCATCTACGGGGTATCTAGAGGGATTCCGGCAGCTTGCCAACCTTTGGCAAGGTGCGGAACATAGTTGCCGACGAGTGCCTCCATAGGCGGCGGCCGTGCTCACATCGGCAGCTCAGAGGGTGACATGATAGTGCAAAGGGATTGCTAAAATGGAATCTAGGTAGTATGTAAATGGTTGAAACGGAAGAACTCACCGAGATCGGTTGAAAGGACGGATTGTGGCCGGAAAAACTTCGCGGCGGCGAAGAACAGAGCAGCGCGGGGGCGGCGATGCTCGGCTTGGTGTAGCGAGGTAAAACTCGACGCAGGGCTTTGGTTAGGGCTTAGTATACTAGAACATGGTATGATATAGGTGTTCTAAGGGTTATTTAGGGCGGAAGATGGATGGAGAGGGGTGGAGTCGATCGCGCACAAGGTGTTCGACCGACGGGCGAGGGTGGTTGATGAGATGGATTGGTAAAGCAGAGCTTCGGGGTTGTGGGGCTATGGTTGTTGATGATCGATGATGGACAGGAAATGGATTGGGGTCCTATTTATAGGGCTAGGAAGAGCGGATGAGCTCGGGCACCGTCATCGCCATGGATGAGCTCGGGATTTGGATGAGGCAAAGGTGGCAGAGGCTGAGAGAGGGCGGGCAAGATCGATTTGAGTGGCGGGAGGCCACGTTCGAATACTTACCGGTGAAGGATTGACTTGACCGCGGTTGGAATCGGCTGGTGACGTGTTGGCGCCAATCCGAGCGCAACGCGCGGCGGCGGCGAGGGTGAAAACGGCCGGCTCGGGGGTGAATGGTTTGAATTGTGAGAGGGGATACCACCGTCTATCTCCAATCCAACCGTGCGGCAAGAATTGGCGCGATTCACCCCGGGTAGAAGCGAAATCGCACTCGGTGGCGGCTTGGACGGGTGCGCACGGCGTCGAGCGGTGATTTCGTGCGGCGGTCGTCGTCCCGGCTTTGTCGTCGTCGAGATTGGTACGGCAGCGGTGGGCTGAGGGCGTCGGACGGGCGACGGCGCGCCAAGGCGGTCGGGCACGCGCGATCGATCCTGAGACCGACGCGTGGCGACTCAGCGCGCGGCAAGGTCGGCTGCCAGAGAGCGCGTGCGAAGGGGAGGAGAAGGCCAACTAAACCACGGTTTTTGAGTGGGTTGTGGTCCCCTAGGACCAAACCTAGACTTTGCACAAGATTGGGTTGAAGGTGGGCTGCTCTAGTTGGGCTGGGCATTTTGTCGAGCACCTTAAGTGCAATGAACAGTAAAAATCAGAATTTTTGAATATTTCCCTAGAAAAGATTTGAATTCAAACTAAGAGTTTGGAAAGATTTCACTAGGGTTTAGAGTATGGCAAATCTCCACTAATTTTGGGATAAGCTAAGAAAATAATCTATGGTTTGAATTTGAGAGAAATTGCTCAAATTCATTAGGGTTTAGAATAAAGGGAATAAGTTAGAGTAAATTGGTTGGGCTCTAATACTTGAACCAATTTTAAATAAAAAAATCAAATAGATTTTTGAACCAAACAAATTTAATCAAAAGCCAGCATGATGCGGTCAAATTTTAGTTTAAAATTTGAGGATGTTACACGTTTTCACCCCTACTCAATGGTACTAACAAAATTGTTTTTATTATTTTTATAAGCCAAAATTAAATTTTAAAACTTAACGTCGAAGTTGATTTTTGTTTTTTTATCGCATTTTATTTTACAACATTTTTTTAAGTTGCTACGGAGTACGGACATACTACTCGTGAATTTATTTTTATTGCTAATAAATAGTAATGATAAGCATAAACGAAATGTTGAGACTAACTTATTCTGCGTGCTTTACTCAGAATTGATCTTTTTATTATCACTCAGAATTGATCTTTTTATTATCTCGCAAGTGAAGTTTATATAGAAAATCATTTCCATCCCCCCTCGTGATGTGCAATAGTTGTTATTTACACACCACCATCTCCTCCATGTGTCCGAAATTCCTCGTTACGTTACGCAACGCCAGCATTACTGTGGCAGTCATACTGATACAACATATAAAAATCCCTTCTGCTCGTTTTTCTTTTTTTTGAGAACTCCCATTTTGTTCGTTCGTCGTTTTTCAATGGTATGGAGTGCAACGTTAATACGGCAAAACATAAATCTACAGCTTCAAGACGAAGTGCTACATGAAACAAAAGAATATCTAGTAGCATGTATACTCGTCACTTCGTCAGTTGCAAATGCCGGAAAATTATTAGCAACGTGTGTTTAAGTGAAAATGTTAATGTTCACATAGCGTCATTTAGCGCCGCATTTCCCGTGGCAGCGTACAACTGCAAGTGTAGTAGCTCACAAAATTTCTGAGTTCTTCGCGGATATCTCAGAAGGTTATTTGAAAGGTATTCCTAAAAAATGGGGTTGCGCTAATCAAGCTGTTTACAACAATTACGATTCGCCTCATCGCAATCTTCTTGAGCGTTCATCCTACTGCTCGGCGATCTTTCTGATGACATACGGTAAAATGCCACCATTGTCGTAGTATGCAAGCTCCACCTGGACAAAAAATTAACAAATCCATCAACATCGGCAACATACACAATCAGCACCCAACACTCTAATGAAATCATTGATGACGAATGATCATACCTCAGTGTCAAATCGAAGTGTGCAAGTGAAGGACTTCCCATTATCAGTCGTCACAGTAACATCTTGCCCAGGCTTGATCTCACTTACATTGGCCGGGAGGTGAACCGTGAAACGCTCATGGCCAGTCAATCCAAGGGTGTCGGCGTCCTCCCCTGACTTGAAGCATAGAGGAATGATACCCATACCAGCAAGGTTGCTGCGGTGAATCCTTTCAAAGCTCTTAGCAATCACAGCCTTGACTCCCTGTATCACCAAATCGAAGTACACCCATTAGTAAGAAATTAATGGCCTTTGCTGAAGAAATTGTGATGGAATCGAAGTTACCTGTAGCATTGGACCCTTCGCAGCCCAATCCCGAGAGCTTCCACTACCGTACTCAGCACCAGCCAGGATAATAGTGTCATGTCCTTCATTCTTGTATTTCTGTGGTAAGAACATAAAAATGGATAAGTAAATTTCAGAATGCATTAGTACAATATATATTTGCATAAATGAAATGTAAATTTGGATTTTAAGTGCAAGTATATTACCGTAGCAGCGTCGAAAACAGAGAGCTTCTCCCCTGATGGAATATGGATGGTTTTTGGGCCAACCTCACCCTTCAAGAACTTGTTCACAAGGCGAATGTTGGCAAAAGTTCCCCTAGCCATGATCTCATCATTTCCTCGCCGACTGCCATATGAGTTGAAGTCCTTCCTTTCAACACCACGCTCCTTCAGATATCTAGCAGCAGGGCTGTCAGGGTGAATACTTCCGGCAGGTGAGATGTGATCAGTTGTGATACTGTCACCAAAGTTCAGGAGACAGTAAGCATCCTTCACAGGCCGTGGGCCAGGAGGGGACATTGTCATATCCTTGAAATAAGGAGGCTCATGGATGTAAGTAGATGTCGGGTCCCATGGGTAGAGAGTGCTTGCTGATACAGACAGCTCATTCCACATAGGATTTCCTTTGGTTATTGCCTCGTATGTGCTCTTAAACATGTCAGGTAGCACACTTGATTTAACAACCTACCAAAATTAAAAGCACCAGCATGAAGCACTTATGGAATCCACTATGTTTTCAATAGGCAAGTATAGATTTATATGAAAAAAGGGAAGCGGACAAAACTGCAGTGCTAACCTCAGCAATCTCTTCAGTGGAAGGCCAGATGTCCCTGAAGTAAACCTCCTTCCCATCTTTCGAGATGCCAATTGGTTCTTTCTCAAAATCAATATTGACCTGTGGCATATCTGGCAGTTTAGAAAATGGGCAGAACTTTTGACATGCAGTCATTGATGTATAAAAAGCTAGCTTACATATTACCAATCACATCTTTGATTTGATTCTTGAGTATATTGCTATAATAGTACAGTAATTTAACTGTTTAGTTTGAAATTACAGGCATATGTCAAACAAAATCTGTTATCTTACCGTGCCAGCAAGGGCATAGGCCACAACCAATGGAGGAGAGGCAAGATAATTTGCTCTGGTTAATGCGTGCACACGCCCTTCAAAATTTCTGTTTCCAGATAACACGGCAGCAGCGACAATATCTAAAAAGTAAGAGAGAAAAGTAAGTAGCGAGCTTCTCAACTCTACACACTTTCTTAGCTAATGATGTCAAACTCACCGTTGTCAGAAATTGCAGCAGATACTGTTTCATCAAGTTCTCCAGAATTTCCTATGCAGGTTGTGCAACCATAGCCTACAATATGGAAGCCAAGCTGGTCTAGATATTTCTGCAGACCACTGCAAGGAAATACAAAGTGAGAATAACTAAGGCTGACAAAAACAAGAAACTTTGAATTCAAGGAACAATCACCTACCTCTTGTCCAAGTACTTCTTCACAACTCCAGAACCAGGTGCAAGACTTGTCTTAATCCATGGCTTGACCTGATGATAAAAATAAATATTAAAGTAGTACTTGCATTTTTCAGAACTCAGGAAGAACAAAATAACTCACTGCAATTACATTTCATTGACAATAACAGGAAAATGGAATAGGATGATAAGGGACAATGATTGATCCATCTCAATAGGAATACAATATATCGAGCATAAATGAACTGATAGAGATGATTTTTTTTGTTTATTTAAAACACATATGCATACTTGAGATAAATTAAACAAGGATGTCAAGCTGGAAACAAGGTAAAGGGCTTCACCTCAAGGCCTAATTCACAAGCCTTTTTGGCAACTAAAGCAGCTCCCAGCATTACATTAGGATTTGATGTGTTGGTGCAACTGGTTATAGCAGCAATTACAACATCACCATGCTTTAGCTTTGCTGGTGTCCCATGGAAAGAGAACTCAGCAACTTTACCCTGTGATTCTTTGGGGACAGCAAAACCCTGCAAAATGATCGTAGTGAGGATAGGATGAAAATGGAAAAGATAACAGGACAATGTATAAACCAAAGATGTATTCTGTGCAATAGCAGAACATAGAAATATGGGGCCCCATTTTGTTCATCTTTCACTAAAAAATAATTTGTTTATCATAATGTATGAATATATCCCAAATGTGATCCAAGATTAAGCAACTTAAATGAGGATTTGGAATGCCATTTAATATCAGCAAATAAACAACAAAAGTCAGAACATCACAACAACACCAGTTGAAGAGTTATGTAGTTATCTGTACAGTAGATCTTTACCTTGAAGCCTACATCATTATCCAAGCAAGACAGCCAATCTGATTTCATGTTCTTCAAAGTCACTCGGTCATGAGGCCTGTGCAGTGGGTTCTTCAGTTTATAACTGAATGTGGCTAAACATGTGCCAAGATTATGAATTAATCAAGTACATTACCGTTTTGGTCCAGACAAGCATGGCTCTACCTCCTCCAAGTTAAGTTCCAGATAAGATGAGTACACTCTTTCAGCTTCAGGCTACATTAAGAAAAAGGGCATCAATAAAGAAAAAAAGTATTTGCCAAATAATATGCTCTTCAGATATAATATGAAAATCACCTGGTTGTAGTCGACGAACATCTTATTGGCACGCAGGTAAGACTCTATCATGGCCACCTAAATTCACAAATATATTAGAACTATACAAGTACACTTAGGATCAAATCCAATAAGATAACTGCCTATAACTTACAGTGTCATCACTTCTGCCAGTTAGCTTCAAGTAGTCCAATGTCTTTCCATCAACTGGGAAGAAACCCATAGTTGCACCATATTCTGGTGACATGTTTGCAATTGTAGCCCTATCAGCCAGTGATAATTCACTCATGCCTCCCCCTGGAATTGAGAACTAGCATTAGACTTGCTATCAAAAGAAAGAGACATGTATTAAAGATATGCAAGGCGAATACCGTAAAATTCAACAAATTTTCCGACAACGCCATGTTTCCTAAGCATTTGAGTTACTGTTAGAACCAAATCTGTAGCAGTAACACCGTTCCTCAGCTTCCCTGTTAACTTGAAGCCCACAACTCCTGGCAATACCATGCTCATTGGCTGCAGAAAGTAGCGCATTTAGAACAGAAAATAGGCATAAGTGGGCAATCAAATGGACAGAAGCAGCCACCCCCCAAGGTTCAAGCTTATTTACATACTGTTGGGGTTTTGGTGCATGACATGTTGATGCAGGCATACGTTAAAATTTACAATCAAAGAATAAGAATTTGGTGAGCCATGACCAAACACAAAACGTGTGGCAAGCTGAATGTGTGTTGTGTGATAAAGAGGTAGAAGTCGAATAAACCCAACCACCCTTTTCTTTTGTTATGCTAAAGAGAAAAATAACATCCTGATACAAACTCTGTAATTCATTGCAACCATAGTATCAGAGATGAAAATTTATTAGCCATAGAATTTTTTTTCACCTGGCCAAGCATTGTAGCTTCTGCCTCTATACCACCAACTCCCCATCCAGCAACACCAAGACCATCTATCATAGTTGTGTGGGAGTCTGTTCCAACAACACTATCAGGGTAAAGGATCCCACCATTGTTAAACACAACTCTGGCCAGATATTCAAGGTTAACCTAACAAAAAAAAACATGTGGTTAGTGTTTACTGTGGTTATATAACAAAGGTGAAATATTTGAGAAAAATATCAGAATGATTGTTTCTTGATATACCTGATGCACAATTCCAGATCCAGGTGGAACAACAAGCATGTTACGGAAAGCAGTTGAACCCCATTTCAAAAATCCAAACCTCTCCTTGTTACGATGGAACTCTAGCTCCATATTTGCCTGAACAGCATTTTCTGATCTTGCCACATCAACTTGTACTGAATGATCAATAACAAGATCTACAGGTACCTGCAAACGAAATAAATGGAGAAAGGCACATCCAGTAATGTCAGCAAAAGCACAAGCACCATTTTCCAATTTATACCACATATGCATGTAGCCCAATATAATCCGTATATACAGATAGCTACATGTAAGGAGATGATCAGAACCGTGCTTAAATACACAGCTTAATAGAGCAGGAAAGGTCCAAAGTAGGGTATCAACTAACAATAAATGAAACAAGCTTGGTTATTGTAAATCACGTATCAAGGGTAACATACCGATGGGTGATGGATAAGTTGCACAATGAGAGGGTAGTAATTTTGTAATTGTATGCATTTGACTATGGACTCACCAGAGGATTAATTTTGTTTGGGTCACTGCCAAGTTTGCTCATAGCATCCCTCATGCACGCAAGATCAACCACTGCTGGAACACCAGTGAAATCCTGTAATGTGTAAATCAGGTAAAAGGTTAGCTGGCTGAGTCATCATCAAGGTAGCTTCAACAACTCAGTTACAACAACTGAGAAAGCAGAACACATTTGCATCGACACATCATCAGAAAATGTGACATCAGATATAAATAATAAGCAATATATCCAGCTATCACTAGCCACATGCCAGACTAAAATAGAATGATTGACTTTCATTGTTGTCTAGAGAATAAGAATATAATATGGAGATGCAGGTAATTTTGTACAGCCACCAGCACCTTCTGCCTTGTTGTTTCCATATCTATCATTAAACAACATTACATACAGTAGCAATCATAGATCAGAAAAACGAACAAAAGATAAGCCATGTGCAACTCCACTTCCTTGAAAGGATAGGTTCGTAAGAAAGTGGGAACTACAGTTCCAATATTCCTGTCATCAAAGGCTATTGACTGAAACTTTTCCAGCTCACAATTATTCTATCAACAGCAATCGAACAAAGTAGATCAAAAAGCATGAGACGGTGCCAGGATTAGTACCTGGAGGAGGACACGGGCTGGCTTAAATGGGATTTCGACTTGCTTTGGTGCGCTGTTCTCCCAGTCCAGGATTTTCTCAACGTCCTTCCCGGTGACCTGGAACTCATCACAGTTTCTGATTGCCGACTCGAGAAGAATCCTTATCGAGTAAGGGAGTCGCTCTGATCAAAACCACCAAAACATGGATCAAATCATCGTTGTTCTAATAATTCGGCAGCAGAGGTAGATCAAAACCTTCAAAGGAAATTCTATATAAGGAAAGCACAAATGCATCAAAATTCCTTGGTCTGAACACATCTAAACCTCCAATTTCACAACCACATTACGCTCTAACCGGAGGTCAGAGCCCTCGAACAAAACCAAACAATTCGTCCAATTCAAATCTTCACAAACGATTGACCGACCGAAAGAGATGAAAGCGTCAACCCCTCGTTGAATGCCCAATTCAACCATCACGAACTAACAATCAAACAAAAAAAAACACACATCCAACACCAAATAGTGGATCGGGGCGTCCAACAATACTGGAAGGCATCAAAACACTCACCGATCCGCGGATCGGATAGCGCGGGCAGGCTGTAGTATTTCCCGAACTCCGCTCCGCCTCCCGGCTTCGCGAGGCCCGTCAGGATTTCATCGTACGAGTTCTTCGCCGCTGCCCAAAACAAACAGAAAAAAGCAGATAAACCATCAGAGAGATAATCACATACAGCCAGCCCCCATCCCATCCCCCACCCACCAGGTCGTTAGCCCCCCCCCCCCCCCCCTTACCCGCCGAGGCGAAGCGCCGCTCGAAGACGGCCGCGGCGGACGACGAGGAGCGCGCGGCGGCGCGGCGGCCGCCGAAGATGCGGCCAGCGAGGCCGGACGCGAAGGGGGACGCCGGCCTGGGGCGAGAGCTCGGAGGCGGCGGTGACGGCGACGACGACGACGCGGCGGCGCCCGCGGGATTCGAGATCGCCGCCGCCGCCGCCGCCGCGGCGGGGATGCGGGTAGAGGAGGAGCGGGAGAGGAGGGCGCTCGTGAGGGGAGGCATGGCTGGCTGGTCTGCGAAGCGGAGGAGGAGGAGAGAGAGAGATCGAGACGGCGTTATATAGGAGGCCGCGAATTTTGGGAGAGACGCGTGGTGGGCAAGCGCGAGTAGGGTTGCCGAGACGAGATGGGGGTTGGCGGCCTCGCGGGTTGCACGGGTTATGCAAAGCCGCCGCCGCTGCGGTGGACAGCGAAGATGAAGCTTCTTCTCTCTCTCTGATGTTTTTTTCTTTTCTTTCTTGGAGACGGGGCCAATCGGCCAACGCGATTGTGGGAGCGGGAATATCGTCATGCGATTGGTCCCACATGGCAGGGACTTAGTCTCGTTGAAAAACCCTTTTTTTAGATATTTTTTTGCGAGTAAAGATTATATTGACAAGGGCACAGACAGAGGGTGCCACGATCACGGAAAAAGTCTTGGGGTTTATCCTTTTCACGGACTTTTATTTTGCTCTTAGTCTTAATGGTTTTTATACGTTTGATGTACAATTACACTATTTTCTTTAGATGCCATCAGATGGCTGAATATATTATTGGCTAATAAGTTATGAAAATAGCCGATAAAAATGATGGATCAAATGACAAACTTAAAAAGACGGTGGGTGCATCAAAAGCCATAAGCACGCGCTAGTATCCTTCCCCAGGGTAGGGTTGAGTGGTAGATCCCAATCCCCAACAAATAACTTTTTCATCGAATTTCGACTAAATCTTATCATTTTAACTTTGTATTCTCAATAACTATTTAAAATGTCACTCGGAATCTTCTTTTGGTAAAATCTCAAAACTTTCACATATTTTGACTGGTGTTTATAAAAAACATAAATCCTGCCCTTGCCCACAGTACTATGTGGGGTTACTGGTTAGTACTACCTACATCCTAAAATATTTGACGCCGTTGACTTTTTTTTAAAATGTTTGACCGTTCGTCTTATTCAAAAAATTTAAGTAATTCTTAATTCTTTTTCTATCATTTGATTTATTGTTAAATATAATTTTATGTATACATATAGTTTTACACATATCACAAAAGTTTTTGAATAAAACGAATGGTCAAACATGTTTAAAAAAGTCAACGGTGTCAAACATTTAGGGAAGGAGGGAGTACCAGATAACCAATATTGTCGGTGATATGGGCCCGGGGTATCAGGTTTAGAGGGAGGAGGCTGCCCTCCGATGCCTCGTGGCCCTCCCCCGAGGGGAGTCAAGCCCGAGGTGGGGTGGCGGCCACTCCTTCCCCAAAGACTAGTCAGAGGAGGTTGCCCCCCGATGCCACGTGGCCCTCCCCCGAGGGGAGTCAGGCTCGAGGTAGGGCAGCGGCCACTCCTTCCCAGAGACTGGATGAAGGAGGCTGCCCTCTAATGCCACGTGGCCCTCTCCCAAGGAGGGTCGGGCCCGAGGTCGGGCGGCGGCCGCCCCTCCCGTGACTAGGGGTCGGGCTCCCCCGACCCCCTCTCTAGGTCACCACGTATGGTGGGTTAGGTGTCCGCCTCCAGGTGCCCACCTACCTGCATTTATGACGTCCCGAGCGGTCGCGCCACGCCGCATTTAATGCGGTGTGCAGTGCACTCAACCGGTCTGTGACCGGTCGAATGACTCATGGGACCCAAGATGTCAGGCGCACCATCGCGTGTGTCAGGCGACGTGCAGCCCGACATATCCCATCAAATAATGATGGTGAGAGGTTCTCATCCTCTTATCCCAGCCGGAGTCGGTCCTCCCACTCTGGTCAAAGCAAGGCTCCTGTTTCCCGGTGTAATAGGAGCCCAGAAGTCTTCACCCGTTAAATGGTGACTGACAGGGGCACCCCCGTGTCAGGCAGCAAGATTTGACAGGCCCCATCATCAAGACGACGTATGCTTGGCTTCTCAAGTCAAGAGACAAGACATGCATTTAATGCAAAGATTATAATAATTCTCCACCGGAGCTAGGTTAGGTTGTTGGGCCCGTGTGGTAACCCCTTGAGGTATAAAAGGAGGTCCAGGCCTAGTGGTGGAGGGTGGACTTCCGAGCGAACTGGCGCTTGGGTCTCGCAACCCCAAGCACCTGTGTTCTACATTCAATCAATCATGCACAGGAGTAGAGTATTACGCTTCTCAACGGCCCGAACCTGTATAAACATCTTTTGTCTCATCGTCTTGGAGGGGCCTAACCCTCTCAAGATTACGCAGCTCCGCTCACCAAGCCCTCGAATCTCACCTGCTGCCCCCGGCCGAACTCACAAAGGGGGGCCTCACGGTTCCCTGGTGGAGGAGTTCATTCTCCGACATCTGGCACGCCAGGTAGGGGGCGCATTCGTGATTTTTGATGTTCTTTCGAGCGCCGGCGTGGTGAGTGTCGCGCCACCGCTATGGGGGAAGGCACAGCATCCTCAGGAGTGTCGCGCCACCCCAGGCGGGGGCAAGGCCCCCACATCCCCACCAGGTAAGCTTGGCTACCAGGTCTTTGTGGCGAGTCTTCGGAATGTCCGATGGCCCCCAAAGTTCCGGCCTAGCCTCACCGAGAAGTACGACAACAGCGTCAACCCACCGAGTCCCTCCAGATCCACACGACGATCAGAGAGGCGACGGGGGGTGACGACCGGGTCATGGCGAACTTCTTCCCCATGACCCTCAGGGGCCAAGCGCAGGGTTGGCTCATGAACCTGCTGCCCGCCTCGGTCCACTCCTGGGAGGACCCCTGCAGTTGAGCTCCGGTTGCCGTCAAAGCCTAGGATCCCCTGTGCTGGCTCTTCCGTAGCGGCTAGCTTTGGTCCCGCCGGCTGGCTACGGTGCCCAGCCCGGCTCAACTAATCGTCCTCTTATATTTTTAGTATTTTCAAATTTTCAACTCATCAACCTAGTACAGCTTGAAATCTTATATTTATTTTCCCCCATTCCATTCTCATGGCCCTGCGACGCCCGCGTGTTGCGCATTTGCTTGCTCCCTCAGTGGTAAGAGCCCAACCTCTCTCCCATCTACATGAACGATTCTTCGCTAAGTGTGGGGGCTAAGTCTTCTAGCCTTATCCTAGCCTTAAGTTGAGCTCCGGGTGCCGTCGACGCCCGGGACCCCCTGTGCTGGCTTTGGTCTCGCCGGCTGGCTACGGTACCCGGCCTGGCTCAACTGTGGACGGGGATTGCTGGCTCTAGAGTTTTCGTCTCTCACACTCGTGCGAAAGTAATCGTCCATGTAGAAGGAAAAGAGATTGGAAGGAGGCCACCGAAAGGAAAGAGCAGACAGAATGTGTAGCGTGGGGACACAGGCTTGTGGGAACCTGACCTCGTTTGCTAAGTGGTCACAGGCTCCCCAAGATGGTTCGGAACCCATGGTGGGGGGCCCTCTTCGAGCTAAAGGTTTGAAAGGTCGCGACATGCAAGTAAGGTTTGTGTTTGCTTCATTTATACAAGCAATTCTTTGCTAAAAGTGTGGGGCTACGATTCCTAGCTCTATCCTAGCCCTGCGTCGAGCTCTGGACGCCGTCGACGCCCGGGGCCCCCTGTGCTAGCTCTTCCGTAGCGGCTGGCTTTGGCCCCGTCGACTGGTTACGATGCTCAGCTTCGCTTGATCGCAGGCGAAGATTGCTGGCTATAGAAAGTTCAGTCCTCACACTCGCGCGAAGATAATCGTTTGCATAGAATTATTATTGCTTATATTTATCTCTCGCCTATCTCTTCCTCGCGGTCCCGCGGTACCTATGTGTCGCGCGCCGGCTTGCCTCCCTTGGTAACAAAAAGTTTGTATTCGCTTCATCCATTCAAACGATTCTTTGCTTAAAGTGCAGGGGCTACGATTCCTAGCTCTATCCTAGCCTTGCGTCGAGCTCTGGGTACTGTCGACGCCCGGGGCCCCCTGTACTAGCTCTTCCGCAGCGGCTGGCTTCGGCCCCGCCGGCTGGCTACGGCGCCCAGCTTAGCTTGATCGCAGGTGAAGATTGCTGGCTATGGAAAGTTCAGTCCTCACACTCACGAAAATAATCGTTTGAATAGATGAAGTAGAACATAAACAAAGGTTAACAAATGGCAGGGGCAAGCGAGGTACGCGGCGTAAGGTCACGAGCCCGAGAGAATCTAACAACGTTTGCTGAATATATACAGAAAATAAGTTCACAGCCTAAGGTACGGGCTAGCGAGTCGCCCTCAGGCTGGGGCGAAAAAGGCGCATGGGTCCTAGTGCCAGCAAAGAAAGAATAAGAGATCAGGCCCACATGTCATTTGACTAACAGAGTGGCGTCAACCCTGACCACCTAGGAAAAGTTTTGGTCAGGGCTAACGCCGGAGGCTACTGTCGATGATATGGGCCCGAGGGTATCAGGTTTAGAGGGACGAGGCTGCCCCCCGATGCCACGTGGCCCTCCCCCGAGGGGAGTCAGGCCCGAGGTGGGGTGGCGGCCACTCCTTCCCCAAAGTAATTCTTAATTCTTTTTCTATCATTTGATTTATTGTTAAATATATTTTTATGTATACATATAGTTTTACACATATCACAAAAGTTTTTGAATAAAATGAATGGTCAAACATGTTTAAAAAAGTCAACGGTGTCAAACATTTAGGGAAGGAGGGAGTACCAGATAACCAATATTGTCGGTGATATGGGCCCGGGGTATCAGGTTTAGAGGGAGGAGGCTGCCCTCCGATGCCTCGTGGCCCTCCCCCGAGGGGAGTCAAGCCCGGGGTGGGGTGGCGGCCACTCCTTCCCCAAAGACTAGTCAGAGGAGGTTGCCCCCCGATGCCACGTGGCCCTCCCCCGAGGGGAGTCAGGCCCGAGGTAGGGCAGCGGCCACTCCTTCCCAGAGACTGGATGGAGGAGGCTGTCCTCCAATGCCACATGGCCCTCCCCCGAGGGGGGTCGGGCGGCGGCCGCCCCCTCCCATGACTAGGGGTCGGGCTCCCCCGACCCCCTCTCTAGGTCACCACGTACAGTGGGTTAGGTGTCCGCCTTCAGGTGCCCACCTACCCGCATTTATGGCGTCCCGAGCGGTCGCGCCACGCCGCATTTAATGCGGTGTGCAGTGCACTCAACCGGTCGAATGACTGATGGGACCCAAGATGTCAGGCGCACCATCGCGTGTGTCAGGCGACGTGCAGCCCGACATATCCCATCAAATAATGATGGTGAGAGGTTCTCATCCTCTTATCCTAGCCGGAGTCGGTCCTCCCGCTCTGGTCAAAGCAAGACTCCCGTT